GCAGAAGCAATTGCAGGCAACCAGTGTACCTCATCCTGTCTCCAGGCCACCGAGTCATACCCCAAAGAGCAAGCAGCCCCTGCCGTCGGCACCTGAAAATAATCCTGAGGAGGAACTGGCATCAAAACAGAAAAATGAAGAATCAAAAAAGAGGCAGTGGGCTTTGGAAGACTTTGAAATTGGTCGCCCTCTGGGTAAGGGAAAGTTTGGTAATGTTTATTTGGCAAGAGAAAAACAAAGCAAGTTTATTCTGGCTCTTAAAGTGTTATTTAAAGCTCAGCTGGAGAAAGCCGGAGTGGAGCATCAGCTCAGAAGAGAAGTAGAAATACAGTCCCACCTTCGGCATCCTAATATTCTCAGACTGTATGGTTATTTCCATGATGCTACCAGAGTCTACCTAATTCTGGAATATGCACCACTTGGAACAGTCTATAGAGAACTTCAGAAACTTTCAAAGTTTGATGAGCAGAGAACTGCTACTTATATAACAGAATTGGCAAATGCCTGTCTTACTGTCATTCGAAGAGAGTTATTCATAGAGACATTAAGCCAGAGAACTTACTTCTTGGATCAGCTGGAGAGCTTAAAATTGCAGATTTTGGGTGGTCAGTACATGCTCCATCTTCCAGGAGGACCACTCTCTGTGGCACCCTGGACTACCTGCCCCCTGAAATGATTGAAGGTCGGATGCATGATGAGAAGGTGGATCTCTGGAGCCTTGGAGTTCTTTGCTATGAGTTTTTAGTTGGGAAGCCTCCTTTTGAGGCAAACACATACCAAGAGACCTATAGAAGAATATCCCGGGTTGAATTCACATTCCCTGATTTTGTAACAGAGGGAGCCAGGGACCTCATTTCAAGACTGTTGAAGCACAATCCCAGCCAGAGGCCAATGCTCAGAGAAGTACTTGAACACCCCTGGATCACAGCAAATTCATCAAAACCATCAAATTGCCAAAACAAAGAGTCAACGAGCAAACAGTCTTAGGAATCATGCAGGGGGAGAAATCCTTGAGCCAGGGCTGCTGTATAACTTGTCAGGAACATGCTACTGAAGTTTATTTTACCATTGTCTGCTGCCCTCAATCTAGAACGCTACAAGAAATACTTGTTTTACTGAGCAGGTGTGCCTTAACCTCCCTATTCAGAAAGCTCCACATCAATAAACATGACACTCTGCAGTGAAAGTAGCCACGAGAATTGTGCTACTTACACTGATTCATAATCTGGAGGCAAGGTTCGACTGCAGCCGCCCCGTCAGCCTGTGCCAGGCATGGTGTCCCCACAGGAGGCAAATCCAGAGTCTGGCTGTGGGGAAAGTGACCACTTTGCCTGACCCGATCAGTTAAGGAGCTGTGCAATAACCTTCTAAGTCCCTGAGTGAGTGTGTAACTTATTGGGTTGGCCACGCCTGGTAAAGCTGTTGGAATGAGTATGTGATTCTTTTTAAGTATGAAAATAAAGATATTTGTACAGAAAAAAAAAAAAAAAAAATGAATCCTATGGTTTATCCGTGTTTTTTGCTTCATGAAATTGCCATCACCCTCATTATATGACTACATGAGAATGACCCTCTTGGTGCTAGCTCTTGTAGAAAGAAGTGGCACAGGCTGCCCTGTCACAGGGTATGGTAGGTAGCTCTGTCTCTGATTACCTACAAGTTCCTCGCACCAAAAGGAGGTTATCAGGTATTGCTTCCAGAAGATCTACAGAAAGCCCAAGGTATTGCCTCCTGTGGCCAAGGATGCAACACCACATTGGTACATTTGGTTTTATTTTAATTGATGGCTATTAAATGCACACATAGATATTATGACGCAGTTACATGTCAGAAACAGGCAGTTCTCTTACCTCTATCTTCCAGGGACTGATATCTTGTGTAATGGATTCTCCACAACTCGGGGGTCACACAGGCTCCATCGTCATGAGTGGCTGATGGATCTCACAGAGACCAATGCCTTTCCCCAGTTAGAAATGGGATGCTCGCTTCCAAGTTCTCTCTTCACCCCTTTTGTGCATCCGTGGCTTTCTGCCTGATCACAGTTGTACAGTGTGCATTGTTGCTTGATACCTATTTGTTGGATAGATGGGTTTAAAATTATTTTCTAACGGCCAAACACAGTGGCTTATGCCTGTAATGTCAGCACTTTTGGAGGCCGAGGCCAGCAGATCCCCTGAAGTCAGGAGTTTGAGACCACCCTGGCTAACATGGTGAAATCCCGTCTCTACTAAAAATACAAAAATGGGCCAGGCATGGTGGCTCACCCCTGTAGTCCCAGCTACTTGGGAGGCTGAGACAGGAGAATCACTTGAACCTGGGAGGTGGAGGTTGCAGTGAGCTGAGATCGCTCCACTGCACTCCAGCCTGGGCAACAGAGAGAGACTCTCTCAAAAAAAACAGAAACAATCTTCTAACAGTAAACATCCTGGAAGTAATAATATGCTTTTCCAGGCATCTCTCTGGACTTTGGCCACTCTTGATCTTTGTGGAATGGGTGTGTAGGCCACGTGTATACAGTGTTAGCAGGGAGGAGTTGCCTTTGCTATGTATTGCTTTATGATCTATCCCCATCAACTCTTGAAGAAAATACATCATTTTCACCAAGTGTGAAGGTGGAAATTTGTGCTGAAGATGTTTGCCCGGGTGGTAGGTAACACAGAAGCGCAGCGGAGATTCACTCATTTGTCTTGCATTTCTCTGTCCACATGGACCCCTCTACAAAACAAAGTGATATGTGTAAAAAAATTTCAGACCATGCAATAAGTAAAGATATCTTAGTCTTTTCAGTATGCATTGAAAAATAGAATATGAAGGCCTAACTACTCAGTAGTATAATAACTTTGTTGTTTTACAAGGTGTGGCTTTGACACCTGGTGGTGCCACTTCCTGGTCTTGGATGAGCTGTACGCCTCTGTAAACCCAGCTTCCTCACCTATAAACAGCTGCCTGGTTCAGCGTTACTGAAGATTAGTCAGTGACAGGCCTGATGTGCCGAGTCCGCACATAGTAAGCATTCAAAGAATGTTAATTCTCCCTTTCTTCTTAACCAAAAATACAAGAAACAAAATGTAGTTTTAAAAACAGTTTTTTGAGATACAATTCGCTTACCGTGCAATTCACTCAAAATAAGGAGATTTGAATTTGAAGATTTGCATGGAAAATTTTTTTCAGGATACTTTGCCCATGTCTACATATATCCTGGTCATCATGATGTCATACCCTCATCTCCCTCCCCCATTTCCCAGATCTTCATTGTACCCTTTTATACACCCATACACACACACACACACACACGCACACATACACTTTTCTGAAGCTAGATATACTTTTTTTTTTGTTTAAAAGGAAGAATTAAAAATGTTCAAAATGTAACTGGAGAGAAGGTGGGCAACTTTGGAAGTAAATACTAGCAATCGCCAATGGGTTTGTGGGACTCCCGGGGTTCCCTGGTGGGGCGGGGGACAGTTCTATTTTCAACGGGTGACTTTTCCTCAGGAACTTCTGCAATGTCCCATCAACCTCTCAGCTGCCTCACTGAAAATGGGGGCAGCCCCAGTGAAAGCACAGGAAATGGACCCCCCCATCTGGCCCACCCAAACCTGGACACGTTCACCCCGGAGGAGCTGCTGCAGCAGATGAAAGAGCTCCTGACCGAGAACCACCAGCTGAAAGGTAAGCAGGGCTGGCTCATGCATGCCCCGTTCATCCCGGGCCTTCAAGAAATGCCATCCCTTTGCACTAAGGCTTGGTGGTGAGCTCCCTTCTCCCCGTTTCCGTAGGTGGTAGCGGGTGGGGAAGCACAGGATTTAGCTTTTGGCAAGGCTAAATCTGTTCTGATATTTACTTTTGGATACAGGTAAAAATAAAAATTGTGTGTATCTCAAGGAACTAGCATAATGAAATTTAACCCATTCAAAAGGAAAAAGAGGCTGGGTGTGGTGGCTCATGCCTGTAATTCCAGCACTTTGGGAGGCTGTGGCGGAAGGATTGCTTGAGTCCAGGAGTTCAAGACCAACCTGGGCAAGATGGCAAGACCTCATCCCTACAAAATATTTAAAAAAAAAAAAGCTGGGCGTGGTGGTGCATGCCTCTGGTCCTAGCTACTGGGGAGGCTGAGGTTGGAGGACTGCTTGAGCCCTGGAAGTTGGAGCTGCAGTGAGCCGTGATCGTGCCACTATACTTCAGCCTGAATGACAGAGAGAGACCCTGACTCAAAAAAAAAAAAGGGAAAAAGGAAGAAGGGCTGCTATGGTTCCAGAGTTAGTCCTAAATATTACCTTATTAAGAGAAAGCCTCCTGGTATCTCAGGCCATGGCTTTGGGCAGGACCAGTGTTTGAACCTAGGAGTAGTAAGAACTTCCTTAGTTCCTGGTAACCATAGATATTTAGATACTTGTGCTGTAGTGGCAGTACCCAAATCAACTTTATTCTCCTGGGACTTTTAAGGACTAGAAATGATGTTCATCCCACTAGTCTTTTCTGTAAGCAAAAACCACTTCATCTTTTTGCTGCTGACCCTTGGGCCGAGGCTAACCATGGCATCTTCCGATTCAGAGCCATGTGGTCAAGTGGACTAGAGGGAGATTTGGTTCATCAAATCAAGTCCACTTTCCTAATGTGTGACCCCATCACTCTGAACCTCCTGCAGAAGCCATGAAGCTAAATAATCAAGCCATGAAAGGGCGATTTGAGGAGCTTTCGGCCTGGACAGAGAAACAGAAGGAAGAACGCCAGTTTTTTGAGACACAGAGCAAAGAAGCCAAAGAGCGTCTCATGGCCTTGAGTCACGAGAATGAGAGATTGAAGGAAGAGCTTGGAAAACTGAAAGGGAAATCGGAAAGGTCATCTGAGGTGAGCAGACTGATCCATTGTGATTTTTTTTTTTCCCATAACATTTGCAGTAGAATCTTATGTGTCTAGACCCCTAGATCAAAACCTGTCATGGTTCAGTCTGGATTGGTGTTTTGCCTGGTCTTGGAAGAAGTGCTTTTGCTCAAAAGATTGGTTGCCTTATTAAGGGTCATGGATAATCTCTTTTAGGGGAAAGAAAGTTGTAAAGCTTTGACCATATTGACTGTAGGCAAAAGAACAGGAAGGTTATAAATCATCGTACTGTATTCATTATAGATGGTTCAGATGGGCCTCTACATAGAACCATCCATTGTTTTTAGTTTCTGTCTTTGATATTAAAAATGTGTTTAAAAAACTCATTACTCAGATTTTTTACTTGTTGACCTTGTCTGTCAGTCTAAAATGGAGATTATCCACTTTACATTTTCCTTTTTAAAAATGTTTTGGAAAATGTCCTGTTGTGGTAAGAGGCTATCGCGTTGCCACAGATGAAAAGAGAAAGAGACACATTTTTCTTGACCCAAAGGACCTGGAAAAACGTGCTCATACCTGGGAGTGGATGTCAGAGACATTAGTCACGACACAACCCAGAATATGTTTGAAGTCCCCACGGGGCGTGGTTTGTTAAGGAGGCCTCTGCTGTCCATGCCAGGTGTGGGGAGAAGGGGCGTGTGTGGGTATTGATGGGAGGAAAAGGGCAGGAGGTTGGGTGGTGAGAGCTCTTTTTCCTTCCTTTCTGTAATTTTAGACAACAGTTTATGAGTCCACTATTGCCAAACTGTGGTCGATTATTTCTATAGTATCAGATTATTCCAGCATGGCAAGGAAGGCTTTCTTTCTTGTCGTAAAGTTACTTTAAATTTTGATATATTTGAATACAATAAAATAATGTAAAAATTTCCACTTTAAATGTTATATCAAAATAAAGTGTCGGCTAGGTGCAGTGGCTCACACCTGTAATCCCAGCACTGTGGGAGGCTAAGGTGGGTGGATCACCTGAGGTCAGGAGTTCGAGACCAGCCTGGCCAACATGGTGAAACCCCGTCTCTACTAAAAATACAAAACATTTAGCCGGGCGTCTGGGGTGGTGTGCATGCCGTATGTCCCAGCTACTTAGCTGGCTGGAGGTAGGAGAATTGCTGTGAACCTGATGGAGGCGGAGGATGCAGTGAGCTGAGGATCGCGCCATGCATTCTAAGCCTGGGTGACCAGAGCGAGACTCTGTCGTGGAAAAAAAAAATACATTGTGCAGGAGTGAAGACAGCTGGAATTTTCTACATTAAAAAAAAAAAAAAAAAAGAAGAGAAAAAACGTCACCAAATCAGGCGGGAGAACAGAGAAACGAGAAACAAAAAAAAAAAAAAACAAAAAAAAAAAAAAAAAATAAAAAAAAAGAAAAAAAAAAAAAAAAAAAAAAGAAACAAAAAAAAAAAAAAAAAAAAAAAAAAAAAAATTGTCAGGTAAAAGCGAATAAAAAAAAAACAAACAAAAAAAAGCATAGGGGCATAAAGGTGTTGAGAAACTTCCTTGTCAGTAGGTGTGGGGGCAATTGAGTCGCCATGGCCAGGTCCTTAGTTTGATTTGTATTTGTTTTTTGGCTTTTTTTTTTTTTTTTTTTTTTGAGGTGGAATCTTGCTCTGTCACCCAGGCTGGAAATATGTAGTGGCGTAATCTCAGCTCACTGCAAGCTCTGCCTCCCGAGTTCATGCCATTCTCCTGCCTCAGCCGCCTGAGTAGCTGGGACTACAGCGCCCACCACCACGCCCAGCTAATATTTTGTTTTTTAGTAGAGATGGGGTTTCACTGTGTTAGTCAGGATGGTCTCGATCTCCTGACCTTCATGATCCACCCGCCTTGGCCTCCCAAAGTGCTGGGATTACAGGCACGAAGCCACCGTGCCGCCGCCTGGCTTTTTTTTTTTTTTTTTTTTTGAGACAGGGTCTTGGCAGTCTTGAACTCCTGGGCTCAGGCAGTCTCCCTGCCTTAGCCTCCAAAGTAATGGGGACTACAGGTGTGTGCCATCACACCTGGCTAATTATTAAATTTTTTGTAAAGATGGAGGTCTTGCTATGTAGCCCAGGCTGGTCTCAAACTCCTGGCCTCAAGGGATCCTCCCAAAACTTCAGCCTCGGCCTCCCAAAACTCTGGGATTACAGGCATGAGCCCATGGTGCTGGGCCTTAGTTTGATCTGTTCATTCACTTTACTCCTTGTCATCTCCAGGACCCCACTGATGACTCCAGGCTTCCCAGGGCAGAAGCGGAGCAGGAAAAGGACCAGCTCAGGACCCAGGTGGCGAGGCTACAAGCAGAGAAGGCAGACCTGTTGGGCATTGTGTCTGAACTGCAGCTCAAACTGAACTCCAGCGGCTCCTCGGAAGACTCCTTTGTTGAAATTAGGATGGCTGTAAGTTTTTGGTTTTATTTTTGTTTTGAACAAACTATAAAGCTTCACCTGGAAAGATGAAACAAGTACCACTTTTTCTTGTCAACACAAGCCAAGGATTGAGGAAATTCCAGTGTAGCAAAGATAAATTGGCTCTCATTTTTTAAGTATAGCATAATGCATATAAGGGTTGTGATAGCTAAAATGGAAAAATATTAATTACCTTTTATGATGAAAGATGTAGTCTTTTCTTTTCATCATGTCCTGGCAAATTGAACATTTTTGTGACTGACCTGAAAAGGAAAAAACCCACACAAGCATGAACTTTCTGTCATTTTTCAAACTAGATTTCAAAGCTGTATTCCGCAGTTCACTTAAGGGAGCTGCAAACATGTTTTTAACAACAGAACCCTCTTTTTTGTTTTGAGATGGAGTTTCACTCTGTCCCCTAGGCTGGAGTGCAGTGATGCGATCTCAGCTCACTGCAGCCTCTGCCTCCGGGATTCAAAAGATTCTGGTGTTTCACCCTCCCAAGTAGCTGAGACTACAGGCACATGCCAGCACACCTGGCTAATTTTTTGTATTTTTAATAAAAAAGACAGGGTTTTGCCATGTTGGCCAGACTGGTCTCAAACTCCCGGCCTCAAGTGATCCACCCGCCTCGGCCTCCCAAAGTGCTGGGATGACAGGCGTGAGCCACCGCGCCTGGCCAACGGAACCCTCTTTTCAAACGAAGTTGTACAAGGAACGCTGGTGTATTAAAAAGAAGAAGAGGAGAAAAAAAAGAGCAGAACTGCTCTGGTTGTAGGTTGAGGGAGTGTCCTGGCTTTTCCTTCCCTTTCCACAACAGCTACTCAGAAGCCTCTGAGAACTGAGTTTGAAGCCATTGCTATCAAAATCAAATGTCTCCGCAACCCAAAATGAAGTGGGCTAAGCGAGGAGGCCCTAAGCTCTTGAGAAGCATCTGTTACAACTGTGCCTGGCTGCAGGGACAGCCCTATTGAAGAGCAGAGCAGGTCGATGCACCAGGTGGGGGCCTCTCCTTCACTGTGCTAACAAAGATTAGGTAGGGAGAAAGATAAACAAGGATCAAATCATCTGCAATACAGTGTAGTACTCACTTTCACTGAGCCAGAGTACATATCTGATACAGGAAAAGGGGCTGGCTGGGTGTAGTGGCTCACGCCTGTAATCCCAGCACTTTGGGAGGCTGAGGAGGCAGGATCACTTGAGCCCAGGAGTTCAAGACCAGCCTGGGCAACCTGGCGAAACCCTGTGTGTACAAAAAAAACTACAAAATGTTAGCTAGGCACGTTGGCATGTGCCTGTACTCCCAACTACTCAGGAGGCTGAGGCAGGAGAATCACTTGAACCCGGGAGTTTGAGAGGCTGCAGTGTGCCATGATTGTGCCACTGTACTCCAGCCTGGGTGACAGAGCAAGACTCTGTCTTTAAATTAAAAAAAAAAAAAAAGGAAAAAATTGTGTCCCTGGAAGAGAAAAATGTACATTGTAGATAAGTCAGGAGGAGTGGGGAGCAACTTGCAAAAAAGCTCACCTACTGGTTATATCTGACATATGGGTGTGTGACTATCTTTGTTTTCTGATTTATTTGCTGCACTAGAGTTAGGAAACGGCTCTGAATAACCTTGCCATCCATGCCCCCTCATACATTTTAGTGGCCAAAATCAAGAGAATTAAAATGTCAATTGGAAAAGCATATTTTGTCAGAGTACCCTTTCTGCAAGTGATCGAAGATTACCGAGACAGAAGTTTAACCAAAGAACCTTACGCTTCTGTCAATAACTGATAAACTGCAGGAAACCCAACAGCATATGAGAAGTTTCCAAATGAAGCTTCTTCCTTCAGGGTGCATGGTTAGCATCTCATTCTCCCTATCAGATGAGTGACAGTTATTTTTAGTGTAAACATGTTTTCTTGCTTTTCTTCTGTGAACTGTAAAGCACTGCCCAAGATTTAGGAAGAAATACCAAAAATATCTAGAACCCCCATGGGCCCAAGCAGAGAAAAAAATATATGTGTGTGTATTTTTTATAATAGATGTATCTATATTTATATTATATAATGAATATATTATATGTAATATAGTAGATAATTATATAATTAATACATAATTATATAATTACATATTTAACATTATATATTTATATAATATGTAATCTATATTTCTATATCTAAATATGTATCTAAATATATATATTTATATGCATATATATAGGGAACCATCTTTGTGCATTTTTGAAGATTTTCCCTGGGAACTTAATGGAATATAAATGTCTTTCAAATCCTGTGGGTCTTGGACTTCTTGTTCCCTAAGTGACCTGCGGTGCATACAAATTTCTAACGGGAACCAACTTGGCCAAGATGGTGCTTTGTGAATCTCATTCACAGAAACTGCCTCTTTTTTAACTTTACCTCAGTGAGTTCTAGCGTTTTGCGTTTTAAAGGACTGTCTGAGAAGGCTATGTGGAGTTGTCACCAGCTCTCCATGACCTTAACCTTGAGAAAGAGGGAACTGCCAAGGAAAGGGAGGAGCAGATAAGCTTTCATGTTTACGGAGTCGGATAGAATGTGTATGGCGAGAGGAAACTGACCTTCACGCCGTAGCCGGGATATTTATAATCCCAACAGGGTGCGCCAGGTGAGGGGAGGGTACGTTTCCATTCCACTGGAGCCACCCGGTTTGAACACTACACATCTGAATGTCTGGAAGGGTCCTTGGGTTGCATGTCACAAAAATTCATCTTTTGTCTTTTTTTTTCTTTTGACAATTTGTCTTGCAGACGTATTGTGTTAAATCCCTTGGGTTTCTGTTTTTACAGGAAGGAGAAGCAGAAGGGTCAGTAAAAGAAATCAAGCATAGTCCTGGGCCCACGAGAACAGTCTCCATTGGCACGTATGTGAAGGAAGACTCGGGCTGCCAGTCAGACCGGCTGGGCAGGCTTGTCACGGGGAGCTTATCACTGGGTGCTTGTCACTGGAGGTCAAATGTAGTGACCTGAGGAAGTAACTTCTTTATGATTTATACCAGGACCTTTCAAGAATATTTGGTTTGAACGCTATTTAATGTTGCAGCTCAAGCTGGCAGAGATTAAAAACTGTTTGATTCCCGTTTGGCCCACACTGACTGTTCTGTTCTAGTGGTGTCTCACCAGCAGACGAAAAGTGAAAGCAAACTGGTTCTCAGTCAAACCAATGAGACATGTTTGCTCATTGGTTCCCCAGTGCCGTTTGACCTAGACCAGCCTGCCCAGCTTCCATAAGTGAAATATTTTCATTTTCTTTTCCCTGCTACTCCCCAGTTATAAGCTGGCATGACCAATACTGGAACATCTTTTGTAACAATGACCGATAGCACTCTCAGTCAACGTGGATGTCGCCTGAAAGGACCCAGATTTCTTATCTGTGGAGTCTCAAGTGTACCTGTCCCATGTAGATGTGAGGAAACAGATGTCTTAAATAGTGGCAGGGCCTTGGGGAGAGAGGCAGACCTAGAACTGAGTGCCTGAACCTCTTGACTCTTACAAGCAGTGCTCACCAAGGAGACTGCTAGCTTGCCTTCTGCAAGCTGCTTACCCCTGTGATCATCTATTCAAGAGACGATTGTCTGAAAAGATCTCTGAGGATCTCTTATCTCATAGTTTTTTTTTGTTTGTTTTGTTTTGTTTTTTTTTTTTTGAGATGGAGTTTCACTCTGCCACCCAGGCTGGAGTGCAGTGGTGCAATCTTAACTCACTACAACGTTCGCCTCCCAGGTACAAGCGATTCTTCTGCCTCAGCCTTCCGAGTAGCTGGGACTCCAGGTGCCTGCTACCACGCCCAGCTAACTTTTTGTGTTTTTAATAGAGACAGGGTTTCACCCTGTTGACCAGGCTGGTCTTGAACTCCTGACCTCAAGTGATCCGCCTGTCTCAACCTCCCAAAGTACTGGATTTATAGGCGTGAGCCACTGTGCCTGGCCATCTGATAGATTTTTAAAACCTTCTTTGTGTAACTTGATGAATGTGCATATAGAATGACTTCCAAAATGTGAAAAAAAATTGTCTTCTATTATGTTTCCAAGCCCTTGTATGAGGAAGAAAGTAAGTATTAGAAAATATTCTTTTGTCAGAGTAATTGGCATAAACGAAAGTAATTCCCTTTTTTGGTTAAAAATTCTTCACGTTTCCCCCAAATTGCTTTTTTAATATTCAAAGACGTTCCTGGAAGTAGTGGCAAATAAAAAAGTCCTGGTTGAAATTTCAAAGCCACTTCCTCATCATTCATATCCAGATGCAAAGACCACTTCCTCTTTAAGCCACATGGCTATTTTAAAAATAACAGCTCTGTACCATTTGTGAGTATCGTAATTACTCTGAGATTGATTTCTAGGTTTGGAGTTGGAGCTTCAGAGTCCTGGAAACTGGGATTTAATTCTGGCTCTTTATTAGCTATGTGAACCTGAGTTGGTGACTCAGAGTAGCTGCCGTTAGCATCATCATAGTCATCCCTCATGTTTTGTAACAGTGATCATGATTTTGTTTGTCACTGATATGTCTCTTGATTTAGTCAGATTTTGAAATTGAGAAAAATACTTGACATATCATAGCGCCTCCATTTCTCTGCTCTCATTATTTGAAACCACAAGTGAAAAAGGTTTTCTCCCCTTGACTTAAGCTGTGATGGTCTCTGTTAACTTGGAGAAAGGCCAGTGGTCTGTACAATGTGCCTTTATCTTTTGTCTGACTGCAGTCTCCTTTGAGACTAGATCTCTGGAAGGCTTGCCACCTTCAGCCACGGCTGCTTCTGCTGAACTGTTCTGTGGGTTTTGTGGTCTGGTGTCAGGTACACAGTGACTGTTTGGAGGAAGTGGGTGTGTGCAGTGTAAGGCTGGCCTCTCCAGAGCCTCACTGAGTCTCCACACCTTCCCTAGGAAGCATGGAGGAGCTTGGCACTGGGGGTCCCAGGACCAGCTGTGCTTGTTCACTAGTTGAGAATTAGTTGGAGAATGTTCTGGAAAGCAGTTCCTTTAAGCTGGTCCCAGTTATATTGGGTTACTCTGTTCTTAGGCTTTGGTATTTTTCTGATGAAAACCTTTTAACCTTTATACTGACCATGGCATTGTCTAAATATAGGAGCAGATCTGCAGAGGGGGCCAAGAATTACTTGGAACATGAGGAGTTAACTGTGAGCCAGCTCCTGCTGTGCCTAAGGGAAGGGAATCAGAAGGTGGAGAGACTTGAAATTGCACTCAAGGAGGCCAAAGAAAGGTATGAAATCGGTTAACTTGAAATATGTGTTTTTTTTAAAACGGCTTTACTGAAGTATAATTAAGATACCATACAGTTCACCCATTTAAAGTATACATTTCAGTGTTTTTTAGAATATTCCCAGGATTGTGCAACCACTGTTACTACAATATAATTTTAGAACATTTTCTCCCCCAAACGGCACTCACTGTTTGCTCCTCCAAGCAGTGTGCTTTCTGTCTCTATAGACTTGGCCATTCTGGACATTTCATATAAATGGAATTATACAGTCTGTGGTCTGTTGTGACTGGTGTCTTTCACTTAACATAATGTTTTTGAGGTTCATCTACAATGTAACATGTATCAGTACTTCCTTTTCCTTGCTGAATAACCTTCCGTTGTCCATATATACAACATTTTGTTCATTCATTCATCAGTTGATAAACATTAGGGTTGTTGCTACTTTTTACCTATTATGAATAATGCTGCTGTGAACATTATGTACAGGTTTTTGCTTGGACATGTGTTTTTAATTCTCTGGGGTATATCATTACGGGTGGAATTGCTGGGTCATGTGGAACCTCTATTTCATATTCTAAGGAACCAGCAAATCATTTTCCAAAGCAGCTGTGCCATTTCGAATTCCCACCAGCAGTGTATGAGCATTCACTTTCTCCACGTCCGTACCAACGCTTGTTTCTCACTGTCTTTCACATTGACTTCAGCCATCCTAGTGGACGTGAATTGGTATCTCATAGTTCTGATTTGTATTTCCCTAGTGACAGTGATGTTGAGCATCTTTTCATGTTGACTGTTTGTTTGCTTTGGAGAAAAGTCTCTTCAGAGCCTTTGCCCATTTTAAAAAATTCGGTTATTTGTCTTTTTATGTGGAATTATAAGAGTTCATTTTACATGCTGGATACAAGTCCCTTACTAAATATACGATCTGCAACTATTTTCTCCCATTCCATGGATCATCTTTTCACTTGATGTTATCATTTGCAGCACATTTGTTTTTATTTTGATGTAATACAATTTATCTCCTTTTTCTTTTGTCACCTGTGCTTTTGATGTCCCATCTGAGAAACTGCTGCCTAACCCAAGGTCACGAAGATTTACTCCTATATTTTCTCTTAAGAATTTTGTAGTTTTGGCCAGGCGCGGTGGCTCACGCCTGTAATCCCAGCACTCTGGGAGGCCGAGTGGGCGGATCACAAGGTCAGGAGATCAAGGCCATCCTGTCTAACACGGTGAAACCCCGTCTCTAATAAAAAAATACAAAAAACTAGCCGGGTGAGGTGGCGGGCGCCTGTAGTCCCAGCTACTCGGGAGGCTGAGGCCGGAGAATGGCGTGAACCCGGGAGGCGGAACTTGCAGTGGGCGGAGATCGCGCCACTGCACTTCAGCCTGGGAGACAGAGCTAGACTCCGTCTCAAAAAAAAAAAAGAATTTTGTAGTTTTATCTCTGACATTTAAGCCTGTGGTCCATTTTGAGTTTGTTTCCATGTATGTTGTGATATAGGAGTCCAACTTCATTAGACTCTCAGTTCTGTTTCATTGATCTATATGTCTGTCCTTATGCCAGCACCACAATGTCTTGAGTACTATAGCTTTGTAGTAAGTTTTGAAATCAGGAAGTGTATTAGCCCGTTTTCATACTGCTATAAAGAACCGCCTGAGACTGGGTAATTTATAAAAGAAAGAGGTTTAACTGACTCACAGTTCAGCATGGCTAGGGAGGCCTTGGGAAACTTACAATCCTGGCAGAACGCGAAGGGGAAGCAAGGCACCTGCTTCTCAAGGCGGCAGGAAGGAGAAGGAACACAGGAGGCCCTACCACACATTTATAAAACCATCAGATCTTGTGAGAACTCACTCACTATCACGAGAACAGCATGGGGGACCCTGCCCCTATGATTCAGTACCTCCTCCTGGTCTCTCCCTTGACACATGGGGATTATGGGGATTACAATTCAAGATGAGATCTGGGTGGGGACACACAGCCTAACCATATGAGGAAGTGTGTGCCTTCCAACTTTGTTTTTCTTTTTAAAGACTGTTGGCTCTTCTGGGTTCTTTGCTGTTCCATAAGAATTTTAGGATCAGCTTGTTAATTTGTGAAAAAAGCCAGCTGGGGTCTTACTAGGGATTGCATTGTATCCCCAAAGCATTTGAGGAGAATTGCCATCTTCAGGATTGTGTCATCTGCAGAGATAGACTTGCTTCTTTTCCAGTATGAATGCCTTTTACTTCTTTTTCTTACCTGATTATCCTGTCAAAACAAACAAACAAAAAGTGTTAAATAGAAATGTAGAGAGCAGGCATCCCTGTCTTGTTCCTAATCTTAGGGGGAAAGCTAAGGCCCCACCTTTGTCATCACTTTCAGAGGTTCCTGGTGTCACTCATGCTTGAGTGTCCTGGAGTTCCCACATTGTGAATCTGGTTGCTTCTTGGCTTTCCCTACTGTTGGCTCACAGGTTGGCCTTCTTGGGCTGGTAAGGCCCCACTCAGACCTATTCCTACTTTCCATTCCATATTTTCCTACTATTATTTCCTCTCCCTTTTTCTTTGGTCCTGTAGGCACATGGCTTTTTGAAAGTCCTTTTAGTAGAGTTTGGGCTGGGAAAAAAATTATATGCATACATTCAACCCATTATCTTTAACCACAGTCTCTCTTGTTTCATTTGGATTGGGATGGCTTCCTGTGGTTATGATTTGGTGTTAAGAATGGTGTTACTTTTTTTGTTGTTGTTTATTCGGTGACTTTTAAACTTAGCTATGTCCTAAAAGGAAAAGTCTTTCCTTCTCTACTGAATTCTTATAAATGAGATACCATGTTCATGGAAAACACATGCATCCACGTGTGTAAACACACACAAAAACAATTTCAAAAACATTGCTGTATAGTACAGTTCCATGAAAACAGATGGTGTTCAAGATGAGTTACAATTGCTTTTTACCTCTGTGTGTATTCATCTGTGAATCAATTCTAGCCAATTTTAGGATGAAAAATAAAACTAATGCTAATATAGTGAATGTGTAGAGATTTTGAAAAGCCCTGATCCTTTATCCCAGTTGTAAACAATGTTCTTTTTAGTGCTTCTGTAATTGCTATTTCTCCTAAAGCCAAGGAGAAAGTAACTTTTCTACCTTCTGTGATTTTCCAGAGTTTCAGATTTTGAAAAGAAAGCAAGTAATCGCTCTGAGATTGAAACCCAGACAGAGGGGAGCACAGAGAAAGAGAACGAGGAAGAGAAAGGCCCAGAGACTGTGAGTCCTAAGATTCCACGGCCACTGTCACACCCACACACACAAGAATAGTCCAGCCACTGAATTCAAATCTCATGATGTGTTATTTGCTTTAGAAATGTAGAAATCATGTTGATGTTGAATATTATCTATCTATTCCTTTTATATTTCCTTGTCCAGGTCTGTGTCAATTGTAGCAAGATGTATTTCTTTTTTTTTTTTTTTTTTTTTTTGAGACAGAGTCTCACTCTGTCACCAGGCTGGAATGCAGTGGCACGATCTCAGCTCACTGCAACCTCCACCTCTCGGGTCCAAGCAGTTCTCCTGCCTCAGCCTCTCAACTAGCTGGGATTACAGGCACCTGCCACCATGCCCGGCTAATTTTTGTATTTTTAATAGAGACAGGGTTTCACCATGTTGGTCAGGATGGTCTCGATCTCTTGACCTCGTGATCCTCCCACCTCAGCCTCACAGAGTGCTGGGATTACAGATGTGAGCCACCGCGCCTGACTGCGAGATGTATTTCTATCAGTATTCTACAAAACCATTTCCTATGTCTCTTCTTGACTGATTTCTTCTCCTCAGTCCTTCAATGAAGAAGCCTACTGTATGAAAAAGGAATTTTGTCCACTTTATAACGAGATAATTTGAGGATATGACTCAGAAATGTGAGGGAGAATTGAAAGATTTGGGTTCTATCCCTTTACTGGTTTGAATAAAGTAGTTCGAAAGAGAAAGGTTCAGTGTTGTCTCGTTCAGTATTGTCTGGTAATTGAGAGGTGCCTTTGAGTCTGCAGAGTCTTCAGCTTAGGGAAGTTAATGAAGCCGTGAAGGTTGATGGCCATAGTGGCGCACGTGAAAGGCATTTACATAAAATACTCACTTTAGGTAGTTAATTTATTCAACAAATATCTACGTTGAATGCCTACCATATTCCAGGAGATTGAGACCTTACTGTTGAAAGGAGAGAGAACATTTAGAAAACAGATGAAGAGACCACCAGTGAATAATAGTTCTCTGTTTGACTAAAACTAATTCAGCAGCCAGTAGCAGGGAAATGTGGTCTTTCAAGGCATCAGAAACTCATTTACAAAAATTATAGAGCTTCCAGGAAAAAGACTGCACAACAAAAATAGTTGAGTAAACTAGAAACATACACTGGGAAGGGAGTATGGGGGCAAGTTGTTAGCTGGATAGATAGGACTGTGCTTTGACACCTCTGTGGTCTGTGATCTCTGAACCTGGAATAGGGGGTTTTTTTGGAAATGGAGTCTCGCTCTGTCGCCCAGGCTGGAGTGCCGTGGCGCGATCTCAGCTCACTGCAAGCTCCACCTTCCAGGTTCACACCATTCTCCTGCCTCAGCCTCCCGAGTAGCTGGGACTACAGGTGACCACCACCATGCCCGGCTAATTTTTTATAGTTTTAGTAGAGACTGGGTTTCACCGTGTTAGCCGGGATGGTCTCAATCTCCTGAACTTGTGATCCACCCGCCTCGGCCTCCCAAAGTGCTGGGATTACAGGCGTGAGCCACCGCGCCTGGCCAGGGTTCATTTTAATAGCGGTAAAGTCATTATCACAGTGCATCCAAATTGATTAGTTCATGCTTTATTAGGAAACAGAAGTTACCCAAAGCTTAGCAAACTAAGTACCAAGTATCCAAAACATTCTTTTCCTACACGATGTTTGGGGTATTGTCAAAGTTGAATCAGTTCACCAACCAGGCTTAATTGGCTGCTAATGGCTCAGACTGTCTTCTCCCAAAGAGGTTTGTTTCATCTCTGATGATAATTGTCTACATATGTTTGGAATTTCCCGTATGATAGGTTGGAAGCGAAGTGGAAGCATTGAACCTTCAGGTGACATCACTGTTTAAGGAGCTTCAAGAGGCTCATACAAAACTCAGTGAAGCCGAGCTAATGAAGAAGAGACTTCAAGAAAAGTAAGAATGCGAGAGCAGTTTTATCCTCCTTTGAAATACACATTTTTACAAAGTATACTAAAAACATAGATTTTTTTACTATATTATAACTAAAAGGAAAACAGACACCTAATTAAAATATGAATTCAGAAAATACTAATGTTCCAGTTAATGTGTGAACATGAAATACTTGTAATATGAGGGGATGGGGACTGGAGAACTTGAATTCTACCTCTTAGGGGTATTTGTTAAATGTAGGAGCCTGTGTGAGATCTCTACAAAGCTGTGAGCTAATTTTCCTGTTTTTGACTTAAGCCGAGGACAGTGACGTGAATAAGCATAAAGAAAGATGAAAAGAGCATAAAGATCTTGAGTGACATTTATTTATTTGGAAAAAGGTCAATTTCAATTCATCATTTCAATCAGTTAATTATTTCAGGCTAACATGTAGATTGAGAGTTTGGCATTTGCTTGTTTCTCTTGATGTAAGAAGTTACCCAAAACTTAGCAAACCTAAGTTGATGTTGTTCGATTGGATTCATTGGCAAACATGTTTCTAGCCCAATACGGAGGTGTGTGTGTTTTCTTGAGGTTATAATTCCCAACACTGTAGTATTATGGTAACGTGGCAGCTACAACTAAGGACTTTGGACAAACAGACCTAGATTTGACATGTGGGTCTACAACTTATTTGTGTTGGGCAAGGTATTTATTTCACTTCTCTGCGCCTGTCTTGTCATTTGGAAATTGTGTGTTCTAATTTCTTCTATATACATTGTGTTAAATGGTATGTCTAATGCGCTGGGCATTAATGCTTTGTGCGTAACTGTCATTTATTTGTATTATATTGAAATTCTCTTTCTGATCTTTAAGAAGACTTAGGGGAACTTCCTTTTTCCCTTATTGAATCTTTGTCAGAAACTAAAGTCTTTGCAATGGACAGAACCTGTAACTTTTTTTTAATATAAAAGATATCTATGCATCACTACATGAGAAGCACCTTTAGCTAATTACTACTCTGGTCTGTGTTTAAATACTAAAGATGTATCTGTATGACTAGTTAAAACAATTATTCAAAGAGGACAGTACTGCGTGTGAGCTTAGATCTGTACTTTTTGATGTTTAGGCGTAAGGGTTCAGAAATATGGTCAGGTCTAGTAAAGAAGCAAGGAGGATTATGTATTTTATTTTGCATTCATAAACCCTACAGCCCTAAAATTCTTGTATTGTACATAACCTTGGGATTTGTTTAAAAGCCACTGAGTCAGAAAGGAGCCTTGTTTATCCTCATGAAACCTTGACCTTTCTTAGGTGTCAGGCCCTTGAAAGGAAAAATTCTGCAACTCCATCAGAGTTGAATGAAAAGCAAGAGCTTGTTTATACTAACAAAAAGTTAGAGCTACAAGTGGAAAGCATGCTCTCGGAAATCAAAATGGAACAGGCTAAAACGGAGGATGAAAAGTGAGTATGCCGAGTCAGAAGGGTGGCGACGGGGCAGAGGAGGGAGAATCGCCTTTTTATACGGATTGGAATTCGGATTTGAGAATCAATTTTTAAAAATTTCTTTTTCACTTATCTGAAGGAGTCCTAGGAGACTTCTCAGAGGGGATAAAGCTTAAAAGTGTTGTCATAATAAAATGATGCTGATTGTTTGCACTCTGTCTTGATCTTTCAGAAAATATTTTTTTTGAGAGTAGGAAATGCTAGTAGGTGGTGGGATGATAAAGGTAGGCGAGATTTTTCTACTTGAGTGTTCAGAAGGTTGGGAGGCAAAACTATAAGTTTCTATGACATTTTCCCCAGGATTCCATTTTTTTATATCTTTTTTAATAGGTCCAAATTAGCCATGCTACAATTGACACACAACAAGCTTCTTCAAGAACATAATCATGCATTGAAAACGATTGAGGAGCTAACAAGAAAAGAGGTATTCACCGCAAAAAATTACTTCCATAGCCTAGTAATGAACAGAAACTGTTGAAGATTTTGTATATAAAATAGTTGCATGAATCCTTCACTAAGTCTGGTTTCAAAGGTTGTTTTCCAGTGTACCATTAGTTCTTGCATCTAGGGTTTATACCTTCTGATGTTCCACTTATGTGTAATGTGCTTTATTGCATACAAAGACAGTGTTAATGTCCTGTGGTCAGGGATTAAGCACTTAGTGTTTCTAAGGGTAGGTTTGCAGGAGAGCTAAGAGCATGGGCTGCTCTGGGTAGGAAGGGCCATCCATTTTGTGGAACTATGCAAGGCCAGCGTGCCTGCTGTCAGTAAATTTGGGACCCTGGAATCATCAGCCAGCAGTTTAAATTCATAATAGTGGGCCAGGTGTGGTAGCTCATGCCTGTAATCCCGGCACTTTGGGAGGCCAAGGCTGGGGGATCATTTGAACCCAGGGGTCTGAGACCAGCCTGGGCAACAGGGAGGCCCTATCTCTACAAAAAATAAAGAGTTAACCAAGTGTGGTGTTCGTGCCTGTGGTCCCAGCTCCTTGGGAGGCCGAGGCAGGAGGATCACTTCAGCCTAGGAGGTCAAGTCTGCAGTGAGCTGTGATCACGCAACTGCCCTCCAGCCTTTGGGACAGAGTGAGAACCTGTCTCTAAAAAAAGAAAAAAATTAAATAAATAAATTAGTAATAATGCCAGCATGGTGTGATAGTTTAGATATCACAGAAGCTTGTGAATTAGAAGGAATCTCTGAATTTTTAGCCTTGTAAATATACTCTTTGTTTTTCATTTATTTTATTTTAGAGAGGGAGTTTTGCCATGTTGCCCAGAATGGTTTTGAACTCCTGAGCTTAGGCAATCCACGTGCCTCAGCCTCCCAAAGTGCTGGAATTACAGGTGTGAGCCATCGTGCCCAGCAGTTTGTCACTTATTTATTTAATAGAGTAGTGTTCCTCTCTTTGACCTAATAATTTTAAATTTAAAACATGTTTCTTTTTTCCACTGACTTCAGGCAGAAAGAGTAACAAGTGGAAAAATAACAGTATCAACAAGTCACAGCCTTATCAAGGTTGGAGTTTGTTATTGTATCCCTGATTTTAGTGTTACCTTCTTGTTTCAGGAACTCATTATTTGCAAGCCACAACTTAAATACAACTTTCCGAATAAGTTAGCATTGCTGATTAACAGACTGGTTAGAGCTGATACATTTTTTTTTTCCCCATAGAGACAGATCTTACTCTGTTGCCCAGGCTTGTCTCACACTCCTGGGCTCAAAGATCCTCCCACTCCAGCCTCTCAATTCCAGGCATAAGCTACCACACCTGGCCAGAGCTGATAATTAAAAAAATAAACCTTTTTCTAATATTTTACTGAAATAAGCAGAATTATTTCAAAACCATTCCTAGAATCAATGTTTCTTTTTCAGTCAGAAAAAGTGGACAGGGCAGTGCTAAAGGAACTGAGTGAAAAACTGGAACTGGCAGAGAAGGCTCTGGCTTCCAAACAGCTGCAAATGGATGAGATGAAGCAAACTATTGCCAAGCAGGAGGAGGACCTGGAAACCATGACCGTCCTCAGGGCTCAGGTGAGGCACCTTCTGAAACCCCAGCTGAGCGAGGCCAGCCCTGACTATATTCTCGCATGGGAAAGCGATGGTGTATAGAATGTTTATAATTTTCTATTGTTTACTTTTTTCACCCATGAATGTATGAAAACTTTAAAATGGAAACATTTGGAAAGTGTTCAGTGGATCTTATCCGTTCTGCATTTAATAGGTAGTTAGTTGGATTCTTTCCAGTCTGTGGCATTACGATTAATGTTGCTGAGACATTCCTGTGCATGTTGCTCTGTTCACATGTGGATGTTTTATATTTCTGTTGGCTACACACCTAGGAGTGGAGTCATTGGATCATAGGCTCTGCATGTTATTCACTTTTAACATGTAATGCGAAACCATTTCCCAAAGTGACTGGGCCAGTTTTCACTCCCATCGACAGAGTCTTCATGGCTCTACATCTTACCAACACTTCTATTATCAGTCGTTTTCCTTTAACCACTCTGGGGGGTATGTAGTGGTATTTCATTTAATTTGCATTTCCCTGATGACTAATGGGAATGAGTCCTTTTTCAAGTGTTTTTGGCCTTTGAAGTATCCTCTTTTGTGAAGTGCCTGATCAAGCCTGCCTATTTTTTTTTTCTTTTTTTTTTCTTTTTTGGTTCAGTTTTTGAGACACAGTCTTGCTCTATCACCCAGGCTGGAGTGCAGTGGTGTGATCTCGGCTCGCTGCAACCTCTGCCTCCTGGGTTCAGGCGATTCTCCTGCCTCAGCCTCCCATGTAGCTGGGACTACAGGCACGTGCCAACATTCCCGGCTAATTTTTGTATTTTTAATAGAGATGGGGTTTCACCACGTTGGCTAGGCTGGTCTCAAACTCCCGACCTCAGGTGATCCGCCCACTTCCACCTCCCAGAGTGCTGGGATTACAGGCATGAGCCACTGCGCCTGGCCTGGCTTTTTAAAAGAATGTAATGACTTCTGTATATACTGCACATATAAGCCCTTGTCAGTTATTTTTGCCTTTTCGCTCTCCTAAAGGTGTGATTTGAGGAACAAAAGTTCTTAGTTTTAAGGTAGTCCAGTATATCAGCCTTCTCATTTATGATTAGTACTTTTTGTGTCCTGTTTAAGAAACTTTTATTACTCCAAGGCCCGGAAGATACTCCCTCTGTTGTCTTCTAAAAAATTTGTTGTTTTACCTTTTACATTAAGATGTACAAACCACTTTAAATTGGCTCTTGTGTATAGAAAGTGAGGTAAGGGTAAATATTTATTTTTTTCCTATATGAATATCCAGTTAACTTGGTACCATTTAAGCCATCTTTTCGTAAGTGCTCTGCTGCCCTCTTCATCATAACTTGTGTCAACATGTGCATGAGTCTGTTTCTGGATTGTGTTCTATTTTATTGATCTACTCATATGTCTTTGCTCTGGTACTATGCTGTCTTATTATAAAGCATCAAACTTCTTTTTTTTTTTTTTTTTCTTTTTTTTTGAGACAGAGTCTAGCTCTGTCACCAGGCTGGAGTGCAGTGGCGCGATCTCGGCTCACTGCAGCCTCCACCTCCCAGCTTCAAGCCATTCTCCTGCCTCAGCCTCCTGAGTACCTGGGACTACAGGTGTGCGCCACCACGCCCAGCTAATTTTTGTATTTTTAGTAGAGATGGGGTTTCACCACGTTGGCCAGGATGGTCTCGAACACTTGACCTCATGATCTGCCCACCTCAGCCTCCCAAAGTGCTGGGATTACAAGCGTGAACCACTGTCCCAGCATCAAATTGAATGGCTGGATCATAAGTTAGGTCCATTTTCCAGTTAAATAAATATTACCAAGCTGTCTTCCAAAAATGCCTAACCAAAATTATACTCTCACCAAAAGATAAGTACTCCTATGTCCTCATAGTCTTGTATTATTTTAAAAACCTTGGCCAATCTGATGAAGGTAAACATGTTATTTTTTAATATACTAATGTCAGCAGTTTGGTATTCCCTACGTATAGACTCATTATCACCAACTACCCAGAGTAGCTGATGCCTGTGAAATGCAGGCAGTTGACTGGTACTTACAGCTTTAATAGCACCTCAGCCTGCATTCTCAGCTCTTCAGAGCATTTCCTTGCTTGGGTAACTCATGTTATGGGGTTCTTCCACTCTTCTGCGGTCATGTATTTTCGCCCATTTTAGACATAGACATTTGTTTTCTCTTAATGGATACTCTTGCTCATTCATTCAATAACTCCTTTTTTTCTTGAGACGGAGTCTTGCTCAGTCACCCAGGCTGGAGTGCAGTGGTGCGATCTTGGCTCACTGCAAGCTCCGCCTCCTGGGTTCACGCCATCCTCCTGCCTCAGCCTCCCAAGTAGCTGGGACTACAGGTGCCCGCCACCACACCCGGCTAATTTTTTGTCTTTTTTTTAGTAGAGACAGGGTTTGACCATGTTAGCCAGGATGGTCTCAATCTCCTGACTTCGTGATCCGCCCGCCTTGGCCTCCCAAAGTGCTGGGATTACAGGCCTGAGCCACTGTGCCCGGCCCAATAACTCCTTTTTTGAGCACTCATAATATGTCAAACACTGTTCTTACTGCCGAGGATATAGGAATGGACAAAACAAAGACTCTATTCTTACTGGCTCAAAGCTAGTAAGTGATAGAAGTGAGACTAAATCGAATTTAAGTCATACTCCGAAACACCCGTGATCCATCACCGACACTGTGAGATGCTGAACCACTCACAATTGACAGGAAATCCCTTAAAATGATCTCTTTATTACACACTTTTAAGTAACTATAGTTTTGATAGAATATTTAGATTTTTATTAATTTTACTTTTAAAATAATAGATAATAATTTATATCTCAGAACCAGCAAATTTGAAAAGCAAATTTTAAACATGGAAAGTTAAAAATTAGTATTAAATTCCAATACCAATGGAACAGTTCACTCAGTTAGCTGACATCATTAAATATTAAAGCACTATTAAGTGTTTTGTTATTTATAATTTTAAAACAATTATTTGATTTTTAAAATGTGTTGTTTTGTTTTGTTTTGAGGCAGGGTCACACTCCTGTCACCCAGGCTGGCGTGCAGTCGCATGATCGTGCTTCACTGCAGCCTGAATTTCCTGGGCTCAGGGGATCCTCGTGCCTCAGCCTCCTGAGTAGCTGGAACTACAAGTGCATGCCATCATGCCCAGCTAATTTTTTGTATTTTTAGTAGAGATGAGGTTTTGCCGTGTTGCCCAGGCTGTCAGCAGGAGGCCTCAGTTCCTCACCGTGTGGTCCCCTCCAGAGGGATGCTTGGGTGCCCTCATGTCGTGACAGCTAGCTTCCCCCAAAGCAAGTGATCCACCAGAGAGCAAGGAGTGACAGTGTCTTTTGTGACCTAGTCTCAGAAGCCATACACCATCACTTTTGCAGTGTCCTAGAGGTTACACAGGTTGGCCTTATTCACTGTGAGAGGGAAACATACAAGATGATGCATACCCAGAGGCAAGGATCACTGGAGCCATCTTAGGAGGCTGGTGACCACACAGGGGACGTGGATTGAATATGGAAAAGTCCATGGGAAATGGTCTTCTGTCAGGTTCAAATGCTGATTTGGCCGCTTAACAAATTTTCCCAAGATGAAGAGCCTTTAAGTTTGTAAAATGAGGATAGCAATTCTATATTCTCAGGATTTTTCTTAAGGTAAAGTAAGATAGTAAATGTAAAGCACCCAACATAGGACCTCACACGTTTGGAATTTAATAAATAGCATCTATTTGTGATGATTATTCTTTTAAATTTAGCTTAAGACCAGCCTTCATAAATACACCTGGCAGAATGAATAAACCATTTACTGTATTAAGTTGATCCTGCATTGTTTATTATCTAAAAGTCCAGATAATTTTGCTGAATTAATGGTACCTACAGTATTTAAACTACCTATATCTGTGCAGTTGCAGGATTTGTGGTATTTAAAGCACACACACAAACACAACTTGTATCTGCTATTGGAATGTACCTGGAAAGTCATGGTCATTATACTGTTTTCTCACAGGATGATGCATCTGTGATACAGCACTACCGCCTCATGGCATAAACACTATAGAGAATCTGCATTCCTCTAGGTACTAACTTCTGTATCTTTTTTTCCTCTAACAGATGGAAGTTTACTGTTCTGATTTTCATGCTGAAAGAGCAGCGAGAGAGAAGATTCATGAGGAAAAGGAGCAACTGGCATTGCAGCTGGCAGTTTTGCTGAAAGAGAATGATGCTTTCGAAGATGGAGGCAGGTAAGGAAAAGAGAGGAGGACCCAGAGCTCACATCAGCATGGCTGGAGATGGGGTGGCTGTCCAAAGACACTCCTGATTTGAACTATAAGAATAGCTCGGCATCAGTTGAGGCTGCAATGAGCTGTGTTCGCACCACTACACTCCAGCCTGGGTGACAGAGCGAGTCCCCTGTCTGAAAAATAAATAATAATTGTTTCACTTACGCCTCATGTGACCATGTTCCCAACACTTAGTTTTTCTTACAGGAAAGCTTGACAGAGACTTGTGGGAGCTTGATCAAGCGCCTTGCTTTTCGATAAGCAAGGATTTTGATTTTTAAAATGTTGTGTTGTTTTGTTTTGTTTTTTGAGGCAGGGTCTCACTCCTGTCACCCAGGCTGGAGTGCAGTGGCATGATCATGGTTCACTGCAGCCTCAGCTTCCTGGGCTCAGGTGATCCTCGTGCCTCAGCCTCCCGAGTAGCTGGAACTGCAAGTGCGTGCCATCATGCACTTGTAACAATAATGTCGAGTGTCCCGGTGAGCTTATCTTGCCATTGTCATGGATGAAATATTCATAGCACTTTAAATTCCTGAATATACTTTTAAAAATACTGCCAAAAATTACTTCTGACTTTTAGAAATTTATTTTGAGAAAGTTATAAAACACAGCAAAATACAGAGAATAAAATAACAGACTCTACTATGTACTCCATCCTGCATTGACAGCTGCTTGTATTTGCTCCAAGTATTTTTTTTATTAAAGGAAAAGGGGAGTTGTAGATAGAGTTGAAGTCTCCTTTGTTCCCCATCCATCATTATATCCCTTTCTTCCTTTACCTTGTGCTGTTAGGAATTTGGTGGATAGCTTCCCCATCTGTTTTATACTTTTACATATCTCTCACACACACCCCTAAATCACATCTCAAAACCAGATAATATTGATTTCTCTGTGTTTAAGTTACAAAATGATCACTATAGGTATTGTTCTCTACATACATAATATTGTGATTTTGAGCTCTCTGTTGATATGTGCAGATGTAATTTATTATACTTCATTGCTCTGAGTATTTTGATTCATAAGTATGCCACTTCTTTCTAATCTGTTTCCTATTGATGACAGTTGGGTTATTTCCTGATTTTTTTAACCGTAATTATTTACTTTCACAACGTAGTCTCCCAGCGCCAATAGTATTTAACACTAGAATTAGTCTGGTTTTTATGAACCTTGGCAGTGTAGTTTGAGTCTTCTTTCCCCTACTTCTGTTGACTGTCTGCTCACCGTTGTCATGTTTCGGGGTTGTAGAACATCACATGTCGTGTTGCTTTTCATCCCGGCAGGCAGTCCTTGATGGAGATGCAGAGTCGTCATGGGGCGAGAACAAGTGACCCCGACCAGCAGGCTTACCTTGTTCAAAGAGGTAAGTCCTGTGTGATCCTGGATTTCCAGGAAATAGCTATCCTATGAAAAAGATGCTTGAAGAAAACTTCCACTTCATTCCCTACAATGGATTCCAAATTAAGGCACCAAAAATACAGCACCCGTCAGTCTCATTTCCACAGCTCTTCTATCTCCCTCCATTACCCACCAAATCCTGACCAGACCCTTCACCCTGCCAGAGGGTGCCTGGCACAGTGGCATAAACACTATAGAGAATCTGCATTCCTCTA